TGTGGAGCTGGAGGAACACAGCAGGCCAGGCAGCATCAACTTTCCTGCTCCTCTGATGCTGCCTGGCCTGCTGTGTTCCTCCAGCTCCACAACTGTGTTATCTCAGACTCCAGCATCTGCAGTTCTTACTATCTCACGTTGTTTCAGATGGTGTGGCAGCTTAATTTTGTTTTCACACATGGTCACTGTCAGACTGAAATGAAAGCAGTTTATTCCCAATAATGTCAAACGTTAAGCTTCAAACTCTCAAGTCACCTCCGTCTCGTTCGCTAAGGGACATGGACACTTCGCTGAGCAGTGACATAAGGGTCGATGCTCCCCACCCGCCAGGATCTGGGACAAGGAACACTGTTGATAGATATGGAAGCTCCCAGACTGATCGACCTGTCGGAGCAGTAACCGCCTCGGGGACTCAAGTAGGAAGACACAAATCATTGGGTGTAAGTCTACATCCTTTTTTTAAAAAAAGAATCAAATATCCCTTTTCTCCTCCTCGCCGTTTACAACTGCCTTTGAAGAAGCTTTGAACAAAACAGGTTTCAAACATTATTCACAGGCTGATGACTATTGAGATAAAAGAGATTTTTTCGGGTTGTTCACTGTTAAAAATATATGATGTAGGCAATTGGAAGGCAGACAAGAAGGAAGGTGGAAGGACATGATAGAATGATAGAATGAAGTTTTTTTTGCTGGTTGTTGTGAGTTGCCGATGTGGAACACAGACCCATTTTGGTCAAAGATTCTTTTTCAATACACCACGGGATCCTGTCCAATCTACATTAAATGTCTCAAAATTCTCTGCCAGGGCAATGTGAACAGAGTTACCAAGTTCACAAGTGTGTGAATTATACCAGGAGTAGACAATGAGGAATTTGGAATCCTCGGGGATAAACCATGTTTATTATCCATCCCCGGGCTTATTTGGAAGTTGTCCATGTTTCTGAACCAGGCGTTCAATGTGCTGACGAGAATTTCCAACATGATATCAGGCTCAAAGTTCAAGTATTTTTCCAGCATCTGTTAGGAATCAGTATACATCTACCGCTTGATAGCATATAACATTAATATATCTACTGCTTGATGATACAGAATATATAATGCCGATATACCTACTGTTTCGTAATATATAGTGTAATGATAATAGACCTACTATTTGAGAATATATAATGATCTTATATCTCCTGCTTGATAATATATATTATCTAACGATCATATATCTACTGTTTGATATTTAATGTTAATAAATCCATCGCTTGATAAAATATAATATTTATGAGTCTGCTTGACTCAGAGATGGACTGAGAGTCATGTATTTTCGATATATTAGTCGCTCTTCTCCTTCTGACTGCTGGATGAAAGGTAGACAATACCTTAACAAATTGCTGCAATATGCCCGAAAAGTATGCACTGGGTCTTTCAGTGTTGAGGGTATTCAATGTTGAAGACTACCTTGCAATGGATAAAACCCAATGATCATATTGGCATTTCAAAGTGGCTTCACTTGCATTGTTTCTTCATTTCCATCACCTGTTCATCTCTCCAGCAAGTAGAGACTTTGTTTGAATTCAATATACAGCGATTGCACAATGTGATGTTCCTTCTGTTTAGTTTGCTCAGATTGTGTTGGGAATATGTTTTTATAATATGCTGGACTCCATTAATTCTGCGACCTGTGTCAATGGAAGGGAAGTACAGAATACAGTGGTGGATCGGTCTGTCGGTACGTATGCATCCGATGTACTAAATGTCATTTTGGAAGGTGTTCATTCCACCCCAACTAGAAGCGGGTGTTTTGGCCAATTTTCTTTAGCATGGAAAGCTGAACATTATTATTCTGTTATCGGCAATATTCCATCTTGATACTGGACGTTAATGTATAAAAGGCAGAAGCTCACCTTAAAATGCTCAACAAATCAGATAAATTAAATGTGTTCATCAAAATTATTCCGTTTGTCACATTCTAAGATTAAAATATGCTTCCCCACACATCTTTTGGATTCATTAGAACCATTCTTATATTCATAATTACTTCTGTTTGATCCTCCAGATGTGGAGACTCCTTATTGATATCTTTTTTTTCCCTGTTGAACTTGTTGAATCTTTTCTTGGGCAATTAGAGGTGGCCACTTAGTAAAAACCTGAAGAACTGGGATGT